TATTTCTTCCCGAAATAAATCCATTACTCTGCGTAGTTTGAATAAATTCAAAGAGCATTGACCCTGATGTTTTTTCCATGAGTCTTTTCTGTTTTAACCTTTGAAGTTCAGAGGATTTAATGAGCAATTTCCATCTGAAAATACACAACTAAAATAAATCATAAATAACTTCCTTCTTGTTAGTTCTAAATGCAAACTTTTGTTCCCTTGAAAAAGCTAAGACAAAAAATACTATTCTTAACTCAAACCACCTTTGCAACTGTCACTATGTCAGATTTTTTTTTATGATCAAATAAAGAAATAATACGGGTTTTTAAAAGTCCCATGTAATTGGGATGGGTAAAGCTCATAAGCACTGGCTCTGAGCTTAACTTAGTTAATTAGACTATATGTTTTCAGCTGAGAAAGGGCAGTGCAGCAATAAATAATATAATAGTAAGTGTTAAAACATCCAAACAGACACCTAGAGAAGTTACAGTGTGTTTTACATGGATTCTAGAAATGTAACAGACTGCAGTTTATAAGGGGAGGATTCAACGTTTTTTAAAATCAAGTTTCAAACTTGAAAAGCTACAAATTTAGATCACAGACTGACTAACGTTGTGACTACCTATATCTAAAGCTTTCCGATAATCTAAGAAGAGAATAATTGGATCTCTTTAGTTTACCAGGTTCAGCACTTATCTGATGTATGAGACATGTTGCATCTAGGTATGGATCTATTTCAAGATTTATATATTACAGTATTTACACTATTTTCTAATATTTCATAGTGTGAATCCACACTAATTTTCTACAATGAAGTGGTATTTTTGTAGTTTGGGAATATAAGTGATAAGATGTATGTTTTATTGCAATATTTGATTGGTCATTGTCAATGGATTTATTGTGTACTGAAAAAATAAATGTCAGACAAGAAAGTAATGACTCAAGTTTTGAGGTCAAGCCATAGCTGCTGGTGATTTGTTAGTTAAAATGTTTTTAGTTGCCTTTTTGTTTTTGTTTTTAAACCTTGATATGTCTTTACTTATAAGAGCTTCATCATCTGGTAGACAAATGAAAGCACCATAAGAGACAAATAAAAGTAGAGAAAACATAAAGTCGAAAGTTCAAGTAATAAATAATGCAAAATTGGAAAATAATAGTGAAATGTTGTAAGTAAATGAAAAGGATACTAAAATCAATCAGCTGGAATCATTTTCGGCTTTAACCCTAACCCTATCACTGGACTGTCCCTGAACTATCTAGTTCAATGTAGATCCTTGGGGGCTACATAAACTGTGTGGATTACATGCATATATTTGAAAGTATTTGAAGGAACATGTCTATATATGCTTCATTCATTAAAAATTCACTGATGTTATTTGTATTATAGGAATTTTATTGAGTAAAAGAACTGTTTAATTCAATTATTCAGGCATTAATAAACTAAAATACCTGTTTGTGATAAGTGCATGAGAGCTACCATCCTGCAACTTTTAGATTAATCTCTTCCCCCACAGAGCTGCATCTAATCGCTGAATTTCTTCAGTATATTATGCAGCTCATCAGAGGCCTGGTAATAAGCGTCTCATTTGATTTGGGTGTGTTTAAATGGTGATGCATCTGAAGGTTGCATGATGATGGCTAGAGGACTGAACTTGGACACCCCTGGCCTAGATGAATAAATATGCAAAATATTATATAAGGTCAGCTGTACTTTAAAATTAAATAGATACAGTAAATATGGTAAATGTACAGAGGAGGATTAAGGCCACTAAAAAAAAATTAAAAATGTTGACTGATACATTTTATTGCAGTTTAATATGGGAATTCTCAGAATTCTGAGATTAAAGTCAGAATTCTGAGAAGAAAAGTTAGAATTCTGAGATTAAAGTCAGAATGCTGAGATTAAGGTCAGAATTCTGAGATAAAAGTTAGAATTCTGAGAAAAAAGTTAGAATCCTGAGATTAAAGTCGGAATTCTGAGATTAAGGTCAGAATTCTGAGATAAAAGTTAGAATTCTGAGAAAAAAGTTAGAATCCTGAGATTAAAGTTAGAATCCTGAGATTAAAGTCGGAATTCTGAGATTAAGGTCAGAATTCTGAGAAAAAAAAGTTTGAATTCTGAGAAAAAAGTTAGAATCCTCAGATTAAAGTCAGAATTCTGAGAAAACACTCAGAATTCTGAGACAATTCTGACCTTTTTCTCATATTATACCGAAATAAAATCTAAAAAATAAGTTATTCAAATCAATTTTTATTTTCTCAGTGGCCCTAATTGTCTTCTGTATAAATGGCCTGTTTTTATAAAGCGGCTTTTCAAGTCAGAGGCCTTTAAAGCATTTACAATACATTGTCATTTACCCAGGCATTCATACACTGTTGGTGGCAAGCTAGCATGTAACCACTGCTGCCCTGGGGAACACTGCCAAAAGCCATAGGCTGCCATAGGCTCCACCATGCCCTCTGACCACAATCAGCAGGCAATGCAGGTTAAGATTCAGGAAATGGCAGCAGATTCACACCCTAACATGTCATTGTCAGTAACATACAGAAATCCTACTTTGAACTCTATACATTTTACTGATGTTTAATCTCAGCGCTTCATTGATCAGTCCTAAAAACAATAATAACAATAAAAATGTGATTGAGCTCGCGTCATTTGAAGTCATGTAAATCATTTACATTAACAGGCTGAATGAATGACATCATCGGCCCATAGATGCGTTTTGCAGTGTTTTTAAAATCACACCTTTTGTATCTTTCTAACAAACCGTTTCTAGCAGAATGCTCTGATTCAGTCTAAATAGTTTTGTCCATCCATCGCTCAGTGGATGATGGGGCAGACCCTCCTGTGGGCGGTAGTGACCCAGCAGAGGGGCGGGACGGTGGCGGGGTCAAAGTTGTTTTGTCTTTTGTGCACAGCAGAAGAGAAGAGTGGAGTCCGATCAAACAGCGGCGTCTCTTCCCTCTTCCCCGAGTCCTCTTAAAACTCCCTCCCAAACCTCTCCCCTTCCACCCTTGTCACCCTATCCACCCCCTGGACACACTTCAAGGGACGGTTCGGGTAAGACTTTGTGTTTTCTTTCCTTTCGGATTGAAGGGCAGCGAGAACCCAACGCGATCCGCAGGCCGCGGGATACGGCTACATCCCGGATCGGACTATGCTAATGCTAGCATGCTGAGCATGGAAAATTACCGAACTGTGTGTCAAAATTGATGGTTTCCGAAGAGTTGGTGCAAACTTGCCACTTTTCCGGAATATCCTAAGCATGTAGCATGTATTTTTTTCAATTCGTGTAGCGTAATTGTGTTGTTAGTAGGCAATATTTTCAGCAAGTCAGGATAGACCCGCTTCGGCGCTAATTTAGCCTTCCTGTACCACTTTGCGCGATGCCTGTTCGCAACACGGAGGTTATTAACACATTCCTTCACTTTATACGTGTTCGCTTTCTATGAGTAGCTGCAGGTCTGGGTTATGTTTTATATACTGCATATATGTAGATAATAGTAAATGTAAAAGTTAAATCGTCACAGCAGGTCAGTGTCAGGAAATAGACGCGGCCACAGGGACACAGTGGGTCATTGTGTCAGTGAGAATGAGTGGACACTGGCCAGTCCGACATGAATCACTGTTTATCCGAAGTGGAACAATCGCCTGGTAAAATGTGAACTGCTTGTTTCAGTCCATTGATCTGCTGTAACAGCAGCTTTCCTGAAACCACTGCTTCACACTCAGGTGTTCTCACTGTTTCAGTAACCACACTTCTCTCTCTTCATCTTCATCCCTTCTGTAGACTTTCAGCAAGTCACCAAAAACCTACTTTGTTGCCAAGTGTGGTGTGTTTGGATTAAACGACTGCAATGGACTCCAGTCTGGTAGAAGGAGGACTAAATGTTACCTTAACCATCAGGTTACTCATGCATGGGAAGGTGAGTGAGACAGATCCCTCCAATCACATATTAAGATAAATTATATGGATTTTAGTGTGAATACTTTGCAGATCTCATCTGATTGTGTTTAATCTTAATGCACTTAATGGCTGTCTTTATTCATCAAACCAATAATATTTCTTGCCTACAATTCTTTTATGCACCTCTGCCATTTATCTGTCTGTTTCTCCATCAATCTGGCAGCTGTAAACGGCAATACTATCCATTCCCCCTCTGTTTGTTTAGCTATGTTTACACCCCCCTGTCTGTTTAACCAGCCACTTAACAATTCCTTTAACTACCCATCCCTGCATCCATCCATTAATCGCACTCTTCACTCGTTTCTTTAACTGCCATTCCCTTTCTAAATACTTTGAGCTGTTCCTCTGTTTTATTTAAACATTTCTGTTGTTGCGATTTATCAGAAATTGAAGAAGAAAATAAATGAGGCTTTTACATCCTGTAGTAAGTGCTTCCATCTCACATCTATGGCATTTTACCTTTAGGATAATTATCATTGAAGATGTGAGTTTATTACAACCTGGTATGGGCTGCCTGTTGCGTGTCAGAACTGACGTTTTAAACTAATTAGGACAGTTCCTCTGTCTCAATATACATTTATAGATATAATCTTCATTTTGTATGTGGCAAAGATTTGGAAAAGGAATGGGAGCGGTGTCCTTCAGCTTAGAACTAAGTGTTATATTTTGATAAGACTGGAGCCATGGATGTCTAATTATCTGCTAACGTGTATGATGTAAAATAAGATGAAGTGGCAGACTGAAATTGTATAAAATGATTCTGTAACGGTGAATCTGGGCCACTGAGAGGTGAGCCCGGAGGTGAGCAGCTGCCTTCTGTATATTCTAAGCAATTTCTCCGATCTGAGTAAGACTGCAATTTCTCTCAGAATCTGTCGTCATGTCTCCTGGTTATTTAATACATTTGTTATGAAGTGTTATTTAAAGAGTTTGTCCCGAGTGATCTATTTTCAGGGAAAAGAACCGGAGAGAGAGCATCATGGTGCAAACACAGAGCCTATCTTTAACAAACTCTTTCAAACGTCAGTTCTGATGCGCAACAGGCAGCCCCTACCAGGGTGTAATAAACTCACACATCTTCAATGATAACTATCCTAACATTACCCTTAAGTACTGTAGAGTGCTTTGACCTAAAGTTTTATTAGGAGTTTGAGTGGTCTTCTAAAGAACCATTTGCATGAACAGGGCGTTAATTTCATTAAATTGAAAGTAAACTCCTATGTTCTGCTAGGTCTGATCTAAGCAGCCCTTCTAATGAACTATACCAGTAAGTGTTGTTTTGGAGTTGGTTGGCCTATTCCTGAGAATTCAACTTTTTTTTTTATCTGCTTCCCATAATTTAGGAAAATAATCAACTTCTATCAAAGAGATCCTAATATTGTGCTGTTTGAACTGATTGCTGAAAACTATTTAAGAATACAAACAAAAATTAGAAAAGGTAACCTTGGTTAAGAAGTGAGGGCAAAGCAAATATTCCCAGACTTAAACCACACTTCTGACCTTACTTTTGAAAGAAAAGATTTAAATGGAAATCCTTTCTCTGGTTGTTTCCTTATAGATCCTGTTTGATCACATGCAGCAGGTGTAATTTATAAACAAGAACTACAAGCTCTGCTTATTAAACATGACGACTTCAAAGAAGGTGGAATTTGCAACAACAATATTTGAAACCGGCAGTTCCTGTAGTACATAAACTGTCCATGTACACATCCAGACAAACCCGATCATAGAAAACTGTTCTGTGCTTTCAAGACTCAGTTTCATTTTCTGTCATCTAATTCGTCCTACACAAACAGTTTTTGTGAAATTACTTGAAATTTTCATTTATCGAAATCCTTGAAAGAAACGTAATATCTAAAACAATTCAATGTGTGCGGTAAATACATTTATTCAACTTGGCTAGGCAAGAGTTGGCAGTTAAATTTGGAGTCTAACTGTAGCTCTTATTATTTGGACTTTAAAAGCAGACAAGGAAAGGCTGGAGCAGGGCTCCCACCATACATATCGATCCCTTGTCCACAGAGGAAAAAGTACAGACCAAAATGCCCTTTGCCTTGTGCTGTAGGAGGGAAGGAACAGGTGGGCCTGACAGAAGGGCTGCGAGGACTCCTACACAAGCAGTCAGGCGCTACTCTCAACTCCAGAGTCTAAGTGAACGTGAAGCTTTGCATTATTTGGAAGGATAAATTAACTCAATCTGCAGTCTGCTTTTCTTCTTGCAAAAACCCTTTTTTTTTTTTTTCTATGTCATTTTTACAGTGCATGTACAGACCCTTCATCTCTCTTAAGAACAGTTCAAATTTGAAATATGTTTTAAATATTAGTATTCCAAGGTGTTCAGCAGCTATATTCTGGAGTATCTCTTTTTTGTATCCATCTCATCAAGCTTTGAAGTTTACATGCTACTGTTTACGTATTCTGTGAAGCTCAATTTTTATGGTTTTATAGAAACCTCCTTCCCCTGAAGCTCAGCCTGCTACTGAAAGCTACATGCAAAAAAATTCTAATCTGTTTTCTTGAATTTTGTTCATTTTTTGCAGGAGGTTGGAAGCATAATCGGCAAGGTAAGACGTTTCTGCTGTTGGAAAGATGTTATCTGCTTCTGTTCCCTGGGTGTGTTTTGTAAATACTCAAATCTGTTGTTTCTCTACAGAAAGGAGAGTCGGTGAAGAAAATGAGAGAAGAGGTAAAAACTTTAATCTTCCCCGAAAAAAGAAACATGCTAATGACCCCTTTGCAGTTGTTCCATGCATCACGTGACATAAAAATAATTTTTTTTGTGTGTGTGTCTGAACTTTTTTGTCTTCAGAGTGGTGCTCGCATCAATATCTCAGAGGGAAACTGTCCAGAGAGGATCATAACCCTCGCAGGACCCACCACCTCCATTTTTAAAGCCTTTTCTATGATAATTGAGAAACTGGAGGAGGTAAAAACTGCTCATTGCATCTCCTAAAGTTGATGCAGCTTACGTTTACTTAAGTGTTGTAAGCAGAAAGGTTGAGCTTAAATGAACTTAAAAAGAAGAGCTAAACTTCCTTGAACCATGGTTTGTATAGGTGCTTAAAATCCTTAAACATTTATGAATTTTGATATTGTTTTTAAGGTTTAAAAAAATGCACAAATTTGGGGTCTGGTGCTTCTAATTGTTTTGCAACAAATGAAAAGCTCACTTAATATACTGCTTATTAAAGATGGGGAGTTTTCATGTTAGTGCCATGCTTTTCTGTTGTCATGACGACGTAGCTCCCAGGCGGACAGAACGTCACACGACTATGTTTGGAAGATGTCGTTTTAATCAACTGTAGCTGTAAAATATGAAATATAGACCGTGGCTCAAACATGGAGCAAAAACTGCAAAGTATGCAGAGAAGAGATTCGTCTTTTCGCAACGGGAGGATCTGCACTCTTCCACTACATGAAATGTGATTCACGCAGGCACTGGCTACCAATTTAGCACAACACGTTAATCTTTTTTTATTTACACTAACCACTAGCTACATGCTAGGAATAACACTGGTGTAGGTGAGTGTCCACTGCGTCACATGCACGCATTCATCAGGGAGAGATCAAATCCAATCAACCCCCCCATAAAACTGAAAATGTAACACTCGCTATCCCGTGTTACTGTACTGGATTCTTTTAAAAGACCGGGGACATTTGCCAGATGGATAATCACATCTGCTTGAACTCAATTGAGCTCTCAAGCAGAAATGAAACCTCTCTGTGGTCCTTTCTGGATGAACAAAAACAATATGTACCTTGTGTTACAAGTGTCTGCATTTGCTGAAAACAAAAAGCCACCCTTCTCAGTCCATCAGAGCTTTTCGCTTGTTTTTTGTTGTTGCTGCAGAATGCATCATGTAAAACAGATTTCAAATGTGATTGAAAAAAGCTGAAACAATTTAAGAACAAATTAAAGCATATGGATGCTTCTTGCATGAGGCTCTGTGTGATAAACTATAGGGTGATGTGTTAGAGATGGGTAGTTTCAAACATTAGCAGCAACTTTTAAAGTTGGTACCCCATGTTGCCTTGAAATCAAATATTATTTTAGAAATTGCTTTAAAAATATTCCTGACCTATTCCACCTATTTTTTCCGAGTGTTGTTTCAGAATACAACTCCTAATTTCTCTTTTAACTTCTATCAAATATAGGCTTTTCTGCTTATCAGTGCTTTATACATTGTTTTTTTTTCCACAGACGAGGAACAAGCAGAAAATTTCCATGTTTAGGATTTGACCGCAGCAGGCCTGAATGGCTGTACAGAGACAGCCTCCACATGTGAGGTGTAGGATCCATTACTGTGCCACATGCTGACCTTTAACTAGGACTGGACCGTGTGGCCTTAAAACTTTATCACATTATTTAGCCTTACCATCATTTTAATGATAAAAACACTTATTTTTTTTTTATATGCATGCCACAGCAATCATAGCCCCAAATTAAAACACTACTCTTGAAAGAATATCCAAATTAGAAACGGGCTTCTTAAGGATACGGTCACATAAAAAGGTGTGATGTATAACACTAAACATCCCATCTTAACCACATTTTATCATTTTTAACAATGCCCCATTGGAAGAAAAAAATAATCTACATTTTTTGTTTAAAACCATTTCTTCATCACCAATTGTAATTTATTAAATCGAGAAAGCCAAATTGTTATCATGAATAGAAATTTATCAAAAAACAAAACAATGAAAGATACAATAAATGCCCACCTACGTGTAACTAATGTAAAAGAAAATCTTAATTTAAAATTCTGAGGCTAGAGAAACTGATTACATCAGAGCATTCACCAGCTTCTTAAATCTAGATTTTTTTATTTTTTTATTTTTTGTGTTTCTGAATAACAAAAATCTAAATGGTTTGCAGATCGTTCTACGTTTATAGGGCATATGAAGCACCTGAAAAGACCTCAAGTATCAACTCTAGTTAAAATCAATACATTTAGCCTATTTCTATTTTAGTTGTGTAAACTCAGCAAAACCTTTCCTATATAATGACAAAATAATTCCCTGGGTTTCCAGGAGAGGTAGAAATTGCAACAGTGAGGCCAAAGAAAAAAACGATGAACTCTATTTGCCATTGAAGAATTTTTACAACACAAGTCTTTAACTGCAAAAGTAACGACACTGAAGCTTTGAGGTTTTCCAATTAATTTCGTGCCACTTTTCCTGCAGGACATCAGCACCTCCATGACAAACAGCACGGCCACCAGCAAACCGCCAGTAACCATGCGCCTCGTCGTGCCTGCCAGTCAGTGTGGCTCACTCATCGGCAAGGGTGGCTGTAAGATCAAAGAAATCCGCGAGGTTGGTTTCTCTTAATCCGCCATCATCTAAAATGTTTGATTTGGGGCGCCGCCTCGTGCCGGACATTTCCTGACTGGTTTGTGTTCCTGCAGTCGGCAGGAGCTCAGGTACAAGTAGCAGGGGACATGCTGCCCAACTCAACAGAACGTGCCATCACCATTGCAGGGACTCCACAGTCCATCATCGAGTGTGTCAAGCAGATCTGCGTCGTCATGCTCGAGGTATAAATCTTGATTGTCAGGCTGATGCTGTTAATGACTTTGGAAAAATCAAGAGATGTTTTTGTTTCCTCAGTCTCCACCGAAAGGAGTAACCATCCCATACAGGCCCAAACCCTCAGGCTCTCCTGTCATATTTGCAGGTGGTCAGGTGAGCAGCATTGTTTTAATGGTGGTTCTTTGAAATGTAGCTGGTCTCCACCTTAGTATCTGCTGTGGTGGGTGTGGCAGGCCTTGCTTTGTTCTCATAGTACACTAAGGACTGGGTGCTGATGGAAATAGGCACCACTCCCTCCTCCTAACTGCTGTTCTCTGCTTGCAGGCATACGCTGTCCAAGGGCAGCACGCCATTCCACAGCCTGATGTAAGTGAAGGGCCCTCTGTAAGTGATCCAATGTATTTAAAAACTTTGCTCCTGGGAAGCCATGCCACCCTCTTCCATTTCTTTTTTTGCCACCCATTCTGGATCAACATCTCCATAAACACTGGCCTGCAAAAGTGTTCATATCCTCAAAGCTTTCTACATTCAGTCACTTAAAAACCACAAACTTCGATAATTCTTACTTTGGGTTACAGAACTATAGTACCAACACTTTGAATCCGAGTGGAAATGGAAATGAAACTCCACTCTGTCTTTATTTATTAATTTTTTTTAATGTAAAATATTTTAGTGCTTTCTAAAAAAGGTTTCTCTAATAATTGTCTGTATTTGTGCTCTATTGATCTAATGAATTTACCTGTGCAGTTTCTCAACCATCATAGACGACCAGACTTTCTCCCTGAGTTTTTCTGAAATGTTTTCACACAGCTTGACCTAGAGTGACCTTTGGTTGGGCAGCAGTTTGAACAGAGCAACGCACCTGAGAAGCACACTCCTCACAAAATATGAAAGTCGCTGGTAGAGGCACATATCTCAGGCTGTTAGTTGGCTCTTTGCAGCTTTGTTTTTGTAGATTTGTAGTTGTGATATGGAGTAGTGCTCTGAGAAATTGCTTTTAATTTCCTTTTTAACTTTCCTCCTGCGCTGTCCATCATCTTATTTTGTTAACTAAAGATTCAGAAGTCTTTACAGATTAGCTAAACCTACTATATAGGTGGCTTTTTAAAGGAAAGGGAACGGAAATCCACAGTACATATTTTAGACTCTTGTTTGGAAAAAGTATTAAAAACCTTGCTGTCCTCCTACCTACCATGTGTTTAGTTATCATAAAACTCCCATGAATCAACAAGGAGGATTGTGGTGTGCTGTGACAAAATGTGAAACTGTTTAAAGGTGTGAATACTTTTGTAAGAAACTGTAAGTTCTAAGACGATGGAATACAAATCAATTATTTTTAGAGCTAGAATTAATCATGGATTCATTTCACAATTTCTGGTCATTGTCATTTTTAAGTACATGCAAGATTTCATACAATGATTATTTAACTTTTTGCTTATGGTCTGTTTTTCTCCGTTTCTGGTTTTGTTTTGCAATTCTTTTAACAGCTCACTAAACTTCACCAGCTGGCCATGCAGCAGACCCCCTTCCCCATTGCACATGGAAACCAGGGCTTCCAGGGTAGGTGGATCGGTTTTCTACCTTTTTTTTTTTTTTTTCCTCCCACATTTCCTCTTATTCCGTTTGCTCTCTCTTAAAGCTGGGATGGATGCCTCTGCACAAACTGGCTCTCATGAGCTGACCATTCCAAATGATGTAAGTCGCTCTTAACGCTAAGTCCTAAATTTTCTTTATTTTGTCAGTTTCACCTGCAGAACTCATCTCCCATTATTGAACAAAGGAATTTCTTTATGGAAGTAAAACATTCTGTTTCTTCATTGTCAGCTTATCGGCTGCATTATAGGCCGTCAGGGTGCAAAGATCAACGAGATCCGTCAGATGTCAGGGGCCCAGATAAAAATTGCCAACCCAGTGGAGGGCTCGACTGACAGACAGGTCACCATCACTGGTTCCCACGCCAGCATCAGCCTGGCGGAGTACCTGATCAACGCTCGGTAAGGGAGAAGCTCCAAGCTATTGGAGCATGTCTGTTACTGTAGCAGGAATGGATTCATTCCGCTGAATTTATAACCATTTAATCTGATTTTATTGGTTTTCATTTTCCTGTTCATGTTAGTCAGGAATCTGAGACAAGCTAAGGAAAACACAAGGTTTATTAAAAATAACTCTGGCCTTAATCTAGTGTGAACTTAATATTTTGGTGCAGCTACTGCCAGCACTGTCTTTAGCCTTTACTAAGGCCATAGCTACAGAATCCTGTTATCTTCTTTACTTGGTATATTTTTTTATGATTTATATACAAAAATGGATC